GGAGATTCACTTGCTGGAAGAGGGGGGGCGGCGGTAATTTTGGATCTGGACTGGAGCGGCGCAGGGGGAAGAGAAAAAGATAGAGAGATTGACCAATGAACAATCGAGGGAGAATTTATTTTTTATAGGTTTTTAGACAATTGGCTTAAAATGTCACCTTCTTATTTAGAGAAGTATTCAATTGTCTAAAAACAAAAATTAATTTGATATTCTTATAGTGTCTTAGGGTATAAGGACTTATTATCAATGATTTTATTCACTTGTGATATTACAAGGTCACATACTTGTGCGGGAGATCATATTGATTATTACTCCAACAATCGGAGTAATTATTAATAAAACGAACGAGCACACTTAGACATAAGACTAACGTGTCAAATCACTCAAAAACATTTTGCCTGCAACTGCCTATCCTTTATGCAGTCAATTGATTGACCCAAGAAAAACTCTGACTTGTGTAAGATAACAAAGAATTGTGATGGAGATGAGAACAAACAAAATCTTTGACATCTTTAATTTAGTTATTATTTCTTTTATTTATTGTTAGTATTTAGTTAATTATTCTAGTCTTTTTATTTGGTAGGAAAAATATTTAATTATTTTTTACTTGTTCGGAAAGTTAGGACTCTTGGGTTCTATTTAAGAGAACGTCTTCTCTTTGTGTTTAGTCGATCGAGATTTTAAGAAATAATAATATATTCTTAAGAGTTTTATTCTTATTTTCTCTTTTGTATGTTTTCACCACGCCGACCAAAATGATCCACGATGCCGCCTAAGTGGAACGATGCTGCAGATGAGCGACGCTATGCTCTGGTGCGCCAAAGCGAGGTGCAGGACCGTCAATCGGCAGATCAGACCAGAACGATCCACGATGCTGCGGAAGTGGAATGATGCTACAGATGAGTGATGTGATGCCACCATTGAGGCTCTGGTGCGCCAGAGCAAGGTGCAGAACTCTCAATTGGCAGATCTGACCACAAGGCTCAAGGACCTCAACATGAATTTCAATACTGCTTTCTAAAGCGATCGGTAGAACTGTGCCCACGACGGGGGCACAGTGGGATGCACAGGGTTGCGTTCGGGGCGCACACGGGGCACCCTGTACTCGGTTTCCTCACTTGTGAGTGGAGACGGTGACGATTCTCTGAGGTTAGTCCTTTTGGTCATCATGCTCGGGATGACGATTATCAGGTCAACGATCGTCGGCGGGAGTCTTCTTTTCGCGTCAACATTTCGGATTTCACTGGCGGCTTTGATGCATCTGAGTTATTGGATTGGATGGTTACGGTCGAGACCATCTTCGATTGTTCATGGGCCAGCGTGAATGTGCAGGGGTCAACCGCATATGAGGACCCGCCTCGTTTTGATGACGAGGGCACGACCGAATATACAGGTCCGCCGATTTTTTATAAAGAGGGTCCAACTCTGTTTGATGTGCAGGGGTCGACCGAGTCAGTAGGTCCGTCTCTGTTTGATGAACAAGTGTCGACCGAGTATGAGGATTCGCCTATTTTTCATCACGAGGAAGTGGAAGTTGAAGTGCGAGATGTGATTATGCTCATGGCGTCTAAGGATCTCCACCATAGAGATGGCTTCATTAAACTCAGTTGTTTAACTTCCATTCAAAATGCTGAAGTCCGGCCATTGACCGAGCAACCTCTCGAAGGCCTCCTAAAGCTGCTTACAAAAATACCACTTTGGATAAAAACATCCAAATTATGATTGGCTTGCTTAGCAAACAAATTCATGAAGTATATGTGGCCTTACATAGATAAGGCAACATGCCAAATGGCAAAGCAAATAGCACAACCCATTATAGCCGAGCAAATTCTAACATACATACTCGATTCGGTAGAATTTACAGAACTTAATTTGAGAAGCCTGTCGCCTACTTGTCAAGAAATCCATATTATTTCGATGAAGATAAGATTGTGTCGAATTTGAGGGCGAGTACTTTTCGAAAAGAGGAGAATGATAGAGATGAGGATAAACAAGATCTTTTGTATCTTTAATTTAATAATTTATTTTTTTATTTATTATTAATATTTTAATCACAGATTTGTCAGTAAAGTTATTTAATTATTCCGATCTTTCTATTTAGTAGTAAATATATTAATTATCTTTTACATGTTAGAAAAGTAAAGACTCTAGAATTCTATTTAACATAACATCTTATCTTTGTGTTTAATTGATCAAGATTTTAACAAAATAATAATATATTCCTCAGAGTTTTATCTCTTGTTTCTCCCGTCGTACGTTTTTGCTACGTCAGATTGTTACTATAAATAAAAATCATCCGTCGATGTGACATACAACATGAGAAAACTCTTCATTCTCCGGCTAACTTTAGTAAATTCCGGCAACATCAAACGCTTACTCCATGCTCAAACGTTCGATTTGAAATCAATAATTAGTTAATGAAATTACTCCTACAATGCATTGATTGTGAGAACTATAGTACTACCTCCTATTCATTATAAATGTCGTTTTGACTTTTTTGATTCATCCATTTTGTTATGTATCTAGACATATTAATGTCTAGATACATAATAAAATGGATGAATTACAAAAGTCAAAACGACATTTATAATGAACAGGAGGTAGTACTATACATCATATATATCAATCCAAAATGTCACACTTACCCGTATTTCTGTTTGCAATTTAATTGTCAAGGATGAATTGGAAGCAGAAAAATTAAATGTAGGCTCAGTGAAGAGTCTTTACCCACCAGATTTTTCCCAGACTGTATTTCGTATTAATGGCTAAACAATTTATAATT